ATCATCACTTTTGGTTAGGATCCTATGGGGTTTCATGAGGGTGAGTGATTTTGGCGACACCCGAGAGCGTGGGTTACAAGCGGGCCCCCCAATTCCTAGTGGATAAAGTTCAGAGGGTCAAGCATTCTCCCCCTGAGGGGCGCGTTTCAATGATGTTTCATGATATTTGTTGATTGATTACTATTCGAGGTGTCATATGTGGTCTAAAGCATGACTATTTCCCAATACGTAATTTCACACAAGCCAAGCCACTGCATACGTATCTGGACGACTTCTTTCCGGCTGTGTATACATGGGCCCCAGTTCCACATTGTTTACTATCTAATGACTTGGAATATTAGAGACTACGGATAAGGGATATGGTATAGGGAAAATGACCGTGCGATAGAATATCTCCAACTGCTTGAATTATTGTTTCTAAAGAATAGTCATGTAATTCAAATCTATCCACCACGAACATCCACCTTCTAACCTGGCCGAAAAGGCCAGATACTCTTCTCAACGTATTGAGAGGTCAGTTCCCCTCAGACCCCCACCAATAGTGTGATTCATTTTGAATCTACCATTCCAATGACCACCCCTTTCCAGTCCAAGCCGAGGCACTGGACAGAGAAACGACCAAAGTATGCTTGTCACCATTGAAGTGGACGTTCTTGGCGGACACAACCTTTCCGTTGAACTTGATTGGGCTCTTTGTCTTCTCAACGCCCCAAATGGTAACGTTTCTCAGACTGTTCTCTTCAACCCATCCACCATGCTCAATGATGGTTTCAAGCTTCCTGTTCTCAACCTTGAATTCTGCATGAAGCGTGGCGTCGGGTGTAACGCTGACTCCATCGTCAAGGTAGAGCTTTCCAGTTGCACTGCCATCCTTGGCCAGTGCAACCAGGATATCCCAGGGGCTGTTCCGTGCGTCTCTGGTAGTGAGAGCAGCTTGCTGAAGGGGCAAGACGGAACCTCCACGGGCATAGACGGGAATGTGGCCGAGAGGGGCGGGAATGGTTGTGTTGGCTTGGGAAGGCACGGGGATGGCGGTGTTGTTGTACCAGTCATACCAGACTTCCTCGCCTTCGATAAGGCCAGGAAAGACACCGTTAACAGATGTTGCGCCCTGTTCGAGGACGGGAATAACCATGATAGACGGACCCAGCATGAACTGGCGATCCGCATTAGCGAGAGATGGGTCGTGAGGGAACTCCCAAGCGAGAGCCCTCATGACTGTCTCAGCCTTTGTGTGGGCGTGGTAGAAGAGCGTGTACATGTAAGGTAGAAGCTGGTATCGGATAGCCATAGCCGTCTTGCTGGCATCTATAACAGAGGACCATCTGTATGCTTCCTGGCTGATGGCACCAATAATGTTATGGTTTCTGTAGAAGGGGAAGAAAGCGCTCAATTGCATCCAGCGGTTGCACAGCTCCATATCAGTGTTATCGGCAAATCCACATGTGTCAGCTCCGAACATGGGAATTCCCAGTAGCGACATGGAAAGAGCTTGCGGGATGGAAAAGATCATACTTGGCCAGTTGGACCAGTTGTCACCACCCCAGTGGGCGGCGTACGATCCGGAACCGGCAAATGTTGAGCGACCAAGAATGAAGGGCCGCGCATCGGGGGAAATAGCAGAGAGAGCATTGTATGTAGCCTTGAGGATACCATGACCCCAAAGGTTGTGCATGTCATATTCGAGTGTGCCATCTGCGTGGGTTGCGTTGGGCGAGATAGCAGCCACAGCCAAGGGACCCTTGACATTGTTGATCGCGTAGGGGGGGTAGTTGACATCACGAACACCCGGGGTAGGGGTGGTGCGGACATAAGAAGCGGAAGAGGTGGCGGAAGTGGTCGGGTAAGCACTGGACCAGGAAGCGCGTGCTGATGAAGCAAAGGCAGCCTCAGTGGCGTTGGTTTTGTTGAATCCTTCGGGGTAGATAAGAACCGGGTTTCCAGGCTCTCCAGGCAGGGCGAAAGGGACATGCACAGGTTGGAGGGTGAGGTTGTTACTTCCGCAGCTTCCAACACAGAAGGAAGAGATTTCACTCATATCAATCCAGGCACCATCATACCCGGTGGTCTGATGGTATCTGACCATCTCGTCAATCCACCATTGCTCAGTGCCTTCGGCCAACCAGTCAGGGAAGACAGTGTATCCTGGCCAGACAGCCCCGACATAGATGCTGCCATCCGGGTTCGTCAGGAAAGCTCCAGCTTCGTTTCCTCTCTCGAAGACAGGATATCTAGAGGAAGTAAGCCTAAGGAAACCAGTCTGCAAGGAAATCAAAGCACTTACGCGTCCTCCAGGTCCTCCGGGTTGGGAATGTAAATGGCTGAATCAATGATTGGAACATAGTGTCTACCACTGTCATGGAGACGCTGAATGAAACCCTTGCTTGACTCGTCATCAAACCCTTCAGGGTCGTTTTCAAAGTCGCGGTAACGAAGCATCCAGTCAATATCAGTCCTTGAAGAAATATTGTCAGTCGAGCTGCCTTTTTTTTTCTGTTGGGACTTTGTCCATTTATTCGGCGGAAAGTTGCGAGAGTCAGAGAGTTAGGTAACTTACCAAATAGTTTCCATTGGGATCTCAAAGTGCGTGTAATTGTTCACAACATCCTCAAGTTCTGCCCAGCTCTTGTATCCCCACCGACATTGGTGGAAACCAAAGGTCCAGTATTGCTGCATCGCAGGCAGGCCGACAGTAGTCAAGTATGACTTGGTGACTTCTGGTTGACTTGGGCCTGGGAAGAAGTATAGGTCGATGCTGCCACCAAGAGCCCGGTAAGTAATGCTGTCTTCCTGCATCAAGATATCTTGGCCATGCGCATTTCGAGAAAACACTCCATGGGACAATGATGTGTAGTTGGAGTTTGGACTGGTTTCGTCGCTTGTTACCAGTGTGAGCTTGCCGTCAGCACCCTCCGTAAAGTAACGGGTCTCCAAATAGAAAGGATGGGCGCCGTAAACGTTGCTGTATCTCCATTAGCAGATATATCGAGAATAACCTATAGTGGTCTTACATATCAACTGTGGCGCCAGCATCTGCCGCATAGAAGGTCTTGGTGTAGTTGTTTCCCAGTTTAAATCCATGGATCGACTCGCCCAATCCATACAGATTGTAGTTCTCAGGAAGGGAGCTCTTGAATTCAACAAACTGGTTTTCAAACACAAGCTTTGTTCCCTTGGTAGAGAAAAGAACATCCTTTGTCGACTTCCTGGTCACTTCAAATCCAAAGCTTGGGTCATTAGTCCAGGAGAATTCCAAGCCCGAGACGACGTTGGACTCCTCGACTTCCGCTTCGGCCAGATAACCCGGAGGAATAATGTAGTGGGTTGCATTCTCTGCGCCGATGTGGGTTGGCACGATCGAAACATGCAATCGATCCTCACGTTGATACTCGACAGTGAGACTCAAAGCGTCAATATCGGTACCATAGACATTGCATGAATTTCCTGCAAGGGCAAGAGAAGCGGTGAAGCCAGAGGAAGTCTGCTGGACATTGGAAGCAGTGTACCCCGGGCAGACGGTCTGTGCATCCACTGCTTGTGGGTCCTTTATATTGGGAATCACGGCAGGAGCGAAGTTTGCGTCAGCGGGCACAGTGAACTGAGCCGAGGCAGAGGAAGTTGGCGAAGGAGTGGATGTCTGCGCCTGAGCAATAGCACAAAATGCAGACAGTCCACCAAGGACACCTCCCCAGGTACGTGGGATGCCCATGACTCACGGACTGCGAGAATTGAAAGATGAAAGAAGTAATTGCCAATGATCTAGGCAGGATTCTCAATTATCCTTTGAAAGATACTGGGGCATTTAGAAAATTTGTCGAAGGAAGGATTATATTTATATATGGTCGCATTGTCCGGAGTATGCAACACGAATATCATCATTTGATCTTAGAACCTTCGAATCTTTGGTAACCCCGGATGGGGAAAAGATCAGTGGGTTAACCTTTCCCCATTCGTTCCAGAGTTTTGGCAAGTCAGTCCCATGGAAGCAACCTTGGGGATGATTGCCCAGGCAGGTGGCCTTGGCTGAACTTTCTTCCAGCGTTGGCTCGGATGTCACATCAATTCCATATATTTCACCTTAAATTTCACCGAGATTGTACCTTCTTATCTATTCCCAACCTAGGCTTGGCACGCTTGGCGGCGCCGTTGATCTAAAAGATACTTTTATGGAGGCTTTTCGGAGGTACCTCAGTAGTGGCGTGAAAGGTATGGGGGCGGTAGGACGGCTATGTCAAAAAGCATAATCTCCGCTATCGGCATTCCAGGCCTACCAGGGTAGGAGGGAGAGAAGCCCGCTCTCCGAGACTTTATCGGGCAGATAGTGTCGGCATCCCGAGTTTATTCTCGTCGAGCGAGACGAATGAGAGGTTCGACGTTTCGCACGGGATAGGGACCTGACGAGAATAGAGCTTGGCGAAAAGCTAGCTTTCAAGGTTTCGGAGTTCGAATTAGTAATTTGGCAGATAATAAGATCAAGGTATGGTGTGATATAGAGATCCCCATCCAGTAGCTGGCCAAGCTGACAAACATAGGCAAATTAATTGAGTATCATGGAGGCTGGCATGAAACTCCTTGTTTTGAGCTTGCTCCTTCATCCTTAACATTCCTTGCCAATATACACTCAGCGTCATGGCTAAATTTGGTTCTCCTCACAACTACTTTATTATTGATAGTAACTTTCCTCTTTATCAGGTAAAGAGCATAGATCAGGAGTTGTTCGCTATGTATGTTTTCCTTATCCAACCGAGTTGATAGAATAAGTTCTAGTCGTGATATATGCTGAATCAAGGAGAGTTTGGATGCTTTTCGGTTACCAGGCCACGG